ATGAACGATGAGACGGAATTATTAACCGCCTGATCGACATTAAACCTACAAATTACCAATATAAGTAATATTTTTAAACAAATTTATATATTAATTTTATAAAACAAATAATTAAAGTTTACCACAATGCTCCATCCTCTTTGTTAGGATGGAGTTTACGCAATCGCGTCCTCTGTGGATTGGACGTGATGTCGGAGTACTGCACCCGCTGTGAAGCTTCGGGAGTTTGTTGTGGCGAAGTCGATCCGCTACCGCGTCCGTAGCTACGTGCAGCAAATCTCCTGTCCATTTTTCCTGCAAAATAAAACAATTATTAAAAATTATATAAATTATATACGAAAATATAATTGCGTTATCGAAAATATATAAATTTTACCGAACTTTTTAGAAATAGAGGTAGAGAGAAGGATTAGGGTGTTGGAAGAAGTATTTAGAGAGAGAAAGTAAAGTTGTTATTGGTAGTGTGGAAAGTGAAGTGTAATTGATTAATTAATTTTTTTCAAATAAATTTTCACAATAATATCAGTTATCCATAACATGTATATATATATACCATATACATAAAACATGATTTTGACATAAAATAGAAAACGTTACACCAATAAAAAATTTAATTAATAAATTTTAAAAAACTTTCATTGATTAATATAAATTTATTAAGGAATATATAACTTAACTTATTTGTAATATCTATTATATCAAATCAAATAAAAAAAATATTTCATGGAAAACAATGAAGCCGTGAAAAATAGTACCAAATATCAGTGGGAAACCTTTGCTACATTTGTACTCATTTTTTCACAAGATTTTAATCATTAGATCTATTTCTATGGTTGGAATTCGAAGAACTGGATTAGGATTTTGTATCCAACACTCTGAAACAGACATCAAATCGTGCAATTAGATAATTCTTGTTAAAGAATACATTATCTTTCAATAGAGCATGTATGATATTCTAATAATCAATATATATAACTAATGAAGATTATTTATATTTTTCTATTTTTATATATCATCTAATTTATTTTAAACACTATATTTTTTATGTGTTAAAATTACTGATATTGTAATATATATATATATATATATATATATAACTATTGAAGATTTTAAATGATAAATAAAATCAAAATATTAAAGTATATGCATGTCTATGTTTATACTCTGTGTCATTGAATTTATTTAAAAAAAAAATAAAAATATTTTCTTATATGTAAAATTTAGTGATATTCTAATAATCAATATAGATAATTAATGAAGATTACTATTTTTATGTGTCATCTAATTTATTTAAAAAATTTATTTTTATGTGTTAAAATTAATGATATATATATATATATATATATATATATAATATAGATAACTAATGAAATTTTTAAATAATAAATGTAATCAAATTAACAATCTCAATAATATATAAAATTAAAATCAAAATGAATATTTTATATAATAATGATGATTTTTGTATATAATAGAGAAACAATTATATATAGAATTTTAATAAACTAATGAAAATGTAAAGTAGATGCCATGATGATGTAAACTAAAAATGGATAGTAAAACATTATTTATAAATAGGTAGTGTTGCAGTGGATCGAGAGCACGACGATCTTCTCTCAAGGGATGAGTTGATGCTTCCGTATGGGCTCAACTGGGTTGCCATACTCTTTCTTGATGCAGCACGACGATTGATGCCAACATCCTTTACATAATTACATAAAATAAAAAGATGCATAAAAAATAACATAAAATACAAAAAATTACTCGGTGTAGAAGTCAATTTAAATGCAACGTTTGTACGTCTATATACGTTACGAATACGATCATAGCATAATGACTGACAGCTCAAAGAATTGATTCTATTTCGATAGTGGGTTGGAATGCAATTAATTGTTATTTTAAACCAAAACCGACGGGAACGTTACATCATTTGGAGTAAATATTTATCATAATACAATGAGATGCCGATATATACAGTGTCATGTAAATAATACTATTTATTATTGAAAACCACGATTAAAAATATATTCAATATCAACTATTAAACATTTTCTGAATTTTTATATACCAAGATACACATATAAATTAGAAATATCAACAATAAATCGGTAAATTAAAATTATAATATAGTTAAAAACTTAAATGAGAATGACAGATATAAAAAAATTGTGGGAAAAAAGATTGAATTTATCATCCGATAGGATGACATATTTTTTCATAATTTAGATGTGCCAAAAATATCACTGTACGTTTTAAAATACATACTAATATTTTCGAACATATGTAATATTGAAGAAAGCATTAAAACTCAAGGAGATCTTGGAAGGAAAGAGGTTACACAATGACAAAGAACAATGGAAGACATGTTCCTAGAATGCTACAGAATTATTGAAATAATATAATTGCAATAATTTATATAATCTTCTAATAGTTTCTCAACATAAATATATTTATATTTTTAATAATAATATTTTTTAATATATGCTGCAAAATAATAACAAAATAAAAACAAAGGAATTATCATGGAACAATATAATTATAATAATTTATATAGTTTTACCTCCAACAAATTTAGGATTTATATTTGTCACCAAAATCACTTTTGGTTGCATGGATAAATTCTCTAACTTTGAACGTAATTCATTTGCTTTTGTATCCCAAGTAGTCACATGAATATCATTGGCACTGTAATAGTATTAAAAAAACAATATTACAAATTTATAATTAAAAAAATTAAATATAAAATAAACAATATATAATTAAAAAAATATGTATACCTGGTCATGAAGACTGAGAATCATTATTTGTTTGGATAATGAAGATTCATGTTGAGAGTCTCTAATAAACTGAACACGACCAATGAAATCTTCATGAAGAAAACAAATATAAATAAAGAACTGTCATAGAATATTTTTAGAATGAAATTAAGATGGTAAAATATATCATTTAGATTGTACATTATTTTACCTGGCAACTCTTCATTCTTGTTAGCTAGGGCAATGAGTTCATGGTAATCTCGAAACCTAAACATCTATGTTAATAGCTATGGAACCAAGTTTTGTAATAGTAGTGCGTTCCGTGAAACGAATAGATAGATGGAAGTCAGTGAACTTAAAACGTTCATTAGCTTTAACAACCTCAAAATCAGTGATAATATAAATTTTTCTCTCATGAAAGACATCTATGAAGCTATCCAAACGTTGCCTACTAATAGATCCTTGTATAAGAAGAGACTGCAAAATGGAGAGGGGGAAAAAATAACCGGTGAAATGATGTGAGCGATATTATACATATTATATTTAAAATAGAAATGACATAAAAATTGTTAACCTTTTCTTCGATGAACAAAAAATCAATGCTCATCAGTTCACCTCCTTTCTTGAAGTTTCGTACCTCCCAAAATCGCAACAATCTACCGACTATTCTTTGCATTTTGCGTCCAACTCTTAGATCATCAAACGTTACATATGCGAAAAGAGCCTCAACACCACGTGCCTCCATTGTGCCTCCGATAGTTGTCATTGTGTTGTTTGTTTGGATTGATATATCTCTATACGTATTACAAATATGTTATATAGGTGAATGAGAGTGATTGATTAAAAAAAGGGGAGCAACAACGAAGAAAGAGATGAAGCACACAAACCGAGGTCACCGAAAATCTTCAAAGAATTCGTGTGCATATAATCGATAGTGGGCTAATACATTTATTCTAATAATGATTATGGTATAGTGGCCTGCGTTATTCCATTTTGTTAGTGGGCAATGAATGCTTATTACAATTTTTTTGTATAATTATATTCTATTAATTTTTTATATATTCTCATATTCATGTTACTATTTTTTTCATTTTATTATTAGGATAAGTACCGGTGTATCGACAATTTTTTGTATAATTGTATTTTGTAAGTTAATTATAAGATTTTTATTTTATTATACCGTATATGATGTGGTTTCATAATTATCCGTTTGCAAACAAAAACGTATAGCCGAAAATTCAAAAAATCAACAACATAATTATTAATACTTCTCATTTAATTTTCTAACCAATGATCAACTTAAAAAGACCACACATATGAGTTTTTTGTATAACGTAACATTTACCATATGATATTAAATTGTCTCCACTCCTTTCTAACATTAAATTTACATCCACTCTTCTCTAATTACGTTACCAATGTATTTTTACCTCCACTCATTTTATAATTTATTTCAGATGTTATTGCAATTATTAATATATTATTTATGTACATTTGCTCATTAAATTTTCAAATGACAAATAAAAATTAAAACAAATGCCATATGGATGATGATGTGGATCTAGGTGTCTTCACAAGCCTTCAAATCAAACTTTTATATATATAGATAGATTTGTCTATTTATTTTATTTCATATATTTGTTTTAAATTTTTTTAAAATTATATTCCATTTTAATTTGGCACCATGTGCCTAAAATGCAAGAGTCCTTATCCGTCCAAATCTATTCAAAGCACAAGCTCACTCAAAACCTCCGTTCGCGGGAGAATATTCCGTTTCGCCTCCGACGGAATATTCCCTTCCAGTTCACACAATGCACTCTCCGACGACCAACGTAGACAACGGCGACGTTCATGTTGGCGGGAAGGAGACGGAATCCGATCGCCTTCTCCATCCCCAAACCCTCCCTTCGAGCTCCTCCGATGACGACGAAGCCGATGTCGCTTTTGAGTCCAGAGAGAAGATCGTCATCTTCGACGTCGAATCTCCCGATTCTGCCGCCGGAGACTCCGCGACACGGCCGTTCTCGTGGCGGAAGCTGTGGTTGTTCACCGGCCCTGGGTTCCTAATGAGCATCGCGTTCTTAGATCCGGGGAATCTGGAGGGAGATCTGCAAGCGGGAGCTATCGCTGGTTATTCGCTGCTATGGCTCTTGATGTGGGCAACGGCCATGGGACTGCTGATCCAGATGTTGTCGGCTCGGATTGGCGTCGCCACTGGTCGACATCTCGCGGAGCTCTGTCGAGAGGAGTACCCGACATGGGCGAGGTATGTGCTTTGGTCCATGGCGGAGCTTGCCCTGATCGGAGCTGATATTCAGGAGGTAATCGGCAGTGCTATCGCTATTCAGATTCTCAGCCGCGGTGTTTTGCCGCTTTGGGCTGGTGTCGTGATTACGGCATCTGATTGGTGAGTCCCTTGAAACTGTTCTTCATCTTCTTAGTACGGTTACTGGATTCAGTGGCATTTTGATTCATTCTCTTGTGTATTAGTTGAATATCTCTGGTTCTAGATCTCCCAAACTCATGGGTGAATTCGAAGCTCGCGTTTCTGGGTTTAAGCTTTAGTGGAAATGTCAATCCTGGTCGATCATAAGTTTTGATTTTGCTTCTACTTTTGAATTCTTTCTTGACACTCCGTAGTGTAAGAATGCTAATTGATTGCTTGTATCTGTTGCAAACAGTTTTATGTTCCTGTTTTTAGAGAACTATGGTGTAAGAAAGCTAGAAGCTGTTTTCGCCATTTTGATCGCAACAATGGCAATGTCCTTCGCTTGGATGTTCAGTGAGACCAAGCCGAGTGGAAGAGAACTTCTGATAGGTGAGACATTACTATCTTCATATTCGAAACTTGCTTTCTCATTCGATTGTTGAAAGGATCCCTTTGTGACTCGTTATTCGTTTGTTGTGTACTCGGTGCAATAGGAATATTACTTCCAAGACTTAGCTCAAAAACGATTAGGCAAGCTGTAGGGGTCGTGGGCTGTGTCATAATGCCTCACAATGTGTTCTTGCATTCGGCTCTGGTTCAGTCGAGGAAAGTTGATCCCAATAAGAAAGGCCGGGTTCAAGAGGCGCTAAATTACTATATGATCGAATCTACGGTTGCCCTTTTCGTATCGTTCATGATTAACTTGTTTGTGACTACCGTATTTGCAAAGGGGTTTTACGGTACTGAGCAAGCTAACAACATAGGACTGGTTAATGCTGGACAGTATCTTGAGGAGAAGTTCGGAGGTGGGCTTCTCCCGATTCTTTACATTTGGGGAATCGGATTGTTAGCAGCAGGGCAAAGCAGTACAATAACTGGTACATATGCTGGACAGTTTATTATGGGCGGATTTCTCAACCTTCGGCTTAAGAAATGGTTGAGGGCATTAATAACACGGAGCTGTGCGATCGTGCCAACCATGATTGTGGCAATCGTGTTCAATACTTCAGAAGCTTCCTTGGATGTTTTGAATGAATGGCTTAACGTGCTTCAGTCCATACAAATCCCGTTTGCGCTTCTTCCTCTTCTGACCTTGGTTGGGAAGGAAGAGATAATGGGAGCATTCAAGATTGGACCTATTCTCGAGGTAAAATTTCTATATACAGTTACACACACACACAGATATTTGTGTAACAACCATTTTTGTGTCATTCATTGATGCTTTCATCAAATTGGACCATTTCTTAAGCTGTTTCAAGGTGCCTCGAGTATCTCATTTCCTCCAAAGTGGCAATAGAGTGCAATTGCTTTAGCAGTTTTTCAATATTTAATGCCCTTAAAGGGGTTAGACAGAGCTGGTGACAAAGTGTTTTCAAGTGTAACTTGTGTGTTGTTCTGTTCTGATGACTGGTGTAATATGCCAACATAACCGAAGGTTTTTTGAATGCTTTCATGTTACCAGGCTAGATCATCATATTCTTTGATTTTGCTGCTGTTCATGGCAAGACAAAGCATGCTCTGAGTTGTGCCAGACTTTTTGTGCTCATCTTCTCTAGTTTTGTTCTTTTCCTGGACTTGTTATGGTGACACTAACAAAGATCAACCGTCTAAATTTCTTGAACTATCTTTGCAGAGACTAGCCTGGACAGTGGCTGCACTCGTAATAATCATCAACGGGTATCTTCTGTTTGATTTCTTCGTGTCGGAAGTCAAAGGTTTTCTATTTGAATCTGCTGTCTTTGTCGGCACTGCTGCTTATGTGGCCTTCATAATCTACCTCATCTCACACTGCAACAGCTCCAGCTCAGTTCCATCTTCTTGGTTCTCCATAGAGCTCCCCAAAAGAATATCTGTGTCTGAAAGCTAATTTACCCTAAAGAAAACTGTTCTACATTCTCTGCTACACGGAAGGAAAAGATCGGGGAATCAATTCATGGCATCTCGAGCAATAACACCACGATATACGGCAACTGATAGACAACACACTTTCATTGTCTGAGAGAAGGAAGCTTCAATATGTCAATACACATAAGCAGTCTCTTGTAGAATATACTGTTAGCAAAGTATCTTTTTGTACCCTTTTTTTTTCTGAATCTTAATCTTATGTGTAACTGAAGATTTTATTCTTTCTATCATGTAAGTAGCAATAGAGTTAAAAGTAAAAGAAGCATCTACATTAGATGAGATTGACCCCCAAGTTTATTTGGGGTCAGCCGTATGAATTCCTTATTTACACTTATTTCGGTTTTGAGTTAACCCTTCCGGAATTTGTAACAATTCCAAGTCATTATTAATTATACGTTCTCAAATAAACCTACGTCTATTCCTTCCTTTTCGTTTATATTTCTATACTCTCCACACTTCTAACTGGCGTATGTATCGACTTACGTTGTACATATTCAAACCATTTTAAACATATCTCTCGTAACTTCTCTTCTATACTTATTACTCCTATTTTCTTTCTAATAATCTCATTTCTAATTATATCTATCATTATATGTCCACACGTGAACATCAATGTGCTACAAATTGGTTTAGGTTCATCAAATTCCTATTGCTATCCACATCAAATTTCTCAAAACCCACATCAAATTTAAAATCTTGAGGTTCAATCTCATCCAACGTAAAGAGTTTTTAGTAAATTACATAGAGCTAAGATCTACTCTTGCATGTTCAGTTCCATAAGATTTCATGCATTAAGAATCAAAGCTTGTAGTACCCTTCATTGCATAAAAGATTCCAATCTGGAATTTTTTTTTTTTGCATCAAAAGAACCATTGAACAAATCAATCAAACCTAATATCAGCCCTTTCAAAGGCTACATCAAAATAAACAGAAAAAACCATGAACACAAGTTTGAGATCATTAATCCTAAGTTCCACTGCCTGTACACTCTCAAGAAGTAACTCATTTCTTTGATGAAGCCTCCTTCAATTCTTTTATCCAATGCCAACGTCAGTTTCTTCGATGATGTCAGAGAAAACAAAACTTCTTAATCATTACGCCAAAGTTCAAATCATAACATCCTCGAAAAAGAGCAGAGGCAACTCCGGGGAGACCGGCAATGTCGCCACACACTTGAACTGCAACACAGGGGAGCAAAAGATACAACATAAGGCTGCTGTCCTAACTATGTAAAGAATGTGTTCCAAATGCCCATTATTAAGGATATCATCGCCATCATAATTGTGTTATTACCCTATGCTGCTTATATTTTGCCCTCACTGCTTGTAGGGCACCTCCTCTTCTGCTCAGATACAAGTCATGTATGATACCGACGCATTCTTTAAGATCAGCCGGTTTGTACTTCGTGTACTCTTGTAACATAGGATTCTGTTGCATTTTCATCGGATTCAGTGACGTGATTCAGAGATGAACAAAAGCTGAAATCTTTGATTTTCTTACCCATGGATGTTGTTTTGGACGCATGATGAACCGGGCAAGAAAGATAGCTGAAGCGGCCACCATAGACGGGAGGAACTTCACACATTTATAGTCCAGCAAACTTAACTCCGAAAGATAGCTGCAGAGAAACTCTAACTGCAAATGCGACACCTGAGGAAGAAAGAAAAAACCGGTTCGATGATTAGCGATCAGTAAGAAAGAAATTGTTCCTCTTCGATTTATGTAAGGAGATCGGGTTTCAGCTTACATTGATGATATCTTCTTGGGCAATCCTTGCAAACCGCCTGCAAGATCAAACATCAAAAGGCAAAACAGAGAAGGGAATTAGATGATAAACCACAATACCCATAACTTTATTTATAGCACAGAATCTGCATTTTCATCACATTACAACCTTAGAAATGTCTGAATTGTGGGGCTTCCCAGTTCAAAATGCAGAGCGAGAAGTATCTCGGCTTCCATCTCCACCACTTCTTGTTTCGTATACGTATTGTCAGTGATGTAACAGAAATCCTCAACATTCTGAGGGCTTATCTCTTCATATTTCCTACTTGTTTCAACCAAAAGAGAAGGAACATGAGCTAAACGAACAAAACCCAAGAAAAATTCATCAAACGACAATGGCGGGACATCGTTTAACAATCAAGATTCGGATGCTTACGAGGCAATAAGCATTGAAGAGACTCCAAGAAGCTGAAGCTTCTGCCTGGCAACACTCTTCAAAGATAAGAATCGATCTATGTAGGAGACAGTGAGATACAGAGTATGGGACACGAGTTTGTATTCTTCAGACACTTCGACCAACCAATCCACCAATACCCCTCTCATGTTGGAATTCACTTCTTTCTGAACTTTCTCGATGTAATTAGGCAAAGGTCGCTGCTTTGGATTCACCTGATTCCATCAATCCAGTTCCAAAAAAATGGCGAAAACCCACAAATTTCAGACAAAATGGCAAAACCCCAGAAATTCTCAGATCAAACTTGCAACATAAACTGACCCAGTTTTGGATTCACCTCAGAATTCAGTCTAATGCCAAAAAAATTACAGAAAAAACAGACAATGGCAAAATCGAGAAACTGCAGACATACCTCCAACTGACGAAGATACTCATAGATGTCGGAGACATAAGGGCCACACATCTGCGGATCATCAGTTCGGGCATCAATGTCGACGCTCGATTCGACGGCGGCCGTCGAATCCTTAGCCGTGTCGGAGACCGAAGCGGTCTTCCTCTGCTTCGCATATGCCCTAAGATCCCTTTTTGGCTTCTGGGTCGGTTTGGGATTCACAGGAACAGGGACATTCGACATGTTCGGAAGCTCTCCGAGCACTACTCTCTTCTTGCTCGCTCGCTCGTCGTCCTTCGCAGCCGCCATAGTCGCCTTTCTCTTCGCTGCTGCTCTTGTCATCCTCCCGGAAATCTCCTTCTCCGCCATTCTCGAGAGAGAGAGAGAGAGAGAGAGAGAGAGAGAGAGAGAGAGAGAGGAAGATTTGGTTGAAGGACTGGGGGGAGAAGGGGTGATGAAAAAGGTGGAGTAAAAGCGCCATTTTTTAGGGAATTCGAATAAACCTTGAAGAAATGGCGCTGAAGCGTTTTGGGTTTCGAAATTTCAGATTTCAGATTCATTCAGGGGAAAAAAAAGTTTGGATCTTTGGAAGAAGAATTCATCGAAAAATCAAATGGCGGGCTCTCACTGTTTTTTCGTGAGATTTCATTTGCCCTTCGAATTCAACCGGCTAATTTTCGAAAGTTCCCAAAATTAGATTCTTTTTATTTATTGTTCCCATTAAATGATTGGCTTGCACATGATTTCTGTTTAATGGCAAAAATAAATAAAAAATTTCTTAAATTTAATTTATACAAGTTAAAATAAAACAGGGTTATGATTTCTATTAAGTATGTGATATGTGATATTTAATATAAGTGGTCATTTTAGGTTTTTTTTCAGTTTCTGTTGGGTTATTTCGTATATGAAAATATTATAATCATTTGATTTTTATATCAATTTCGATTTGTTTCGGTTTGGATCTGATTTTTTATTAGTAAAAAATTTATTTTTTAAAAGAAATTCTATTTTTTTTTTTTGTTTTTTTGGTTTCTGTTCGAATTTAGTTTTTTTTTTAAATTACAATCATTTATAATTTTTATATCGAATTCGATTTTGTTATATTGATTCGATATTTAGTTAATAACCAAAATGGTAAATAAGTAAAAAAAATGAAAGAAGAAAGGGAAATAAATGTTTTAAAACACGCAGTCAATTTGCACAAAAAAAACTCCAAAAATCATATATTATTGTGAAATTTATTTATAGCCAATTTTGGGAATAAGTGAAATTTCAGTGGAATTGGTCGGATTCTGTAAGTATCACATATTATTACGAATAAATGATATGGGTTCTATTTATAACAATAAAAAAAAAATTAGATCGATCTCTTGAAAATATATTTTATGGTAATAATAGTTTAATACTCTATAGTTTTAAAATACTTGTATTAAAAATGTTAAGATAATTGATGGGTGGAATCAAATTCGGATCCACTATCATTATGCCTCTATAATTAATAATTCAATTCTCCCATCAATTCCATGACCTCGGACTCGGATCGCTCATAGGGGTTTTTTCTTAATTTTAAAGTATAAGGACTATATTGCTCTCATAAAAAAAGTACAGGGATTAAGATGCAATTATCATGAAAGGACAACCACGTGTCACATCACAATTACAAGTTTTATGTGTCACTTCCAAGTTAATTCATTACCGAAGTTGTGTACATTTCACCTATAAACCGACGCCGTACCGAATCCCTCCCTCCCTTCAATAACAAAAAAATATATATAATATATATCCCCAAAATAATTTCAAAATCCCTAAAAACAGATTTCGACCAAAAATGGCAGACACTGAATCGACCGACAACCCCGCCGCACTACCACCGTCGGACTCGGAGGGATCCGCCGCCGTTCCCCACACCGACGGCGACGGCGCCACCAAGGACGCGACGATGGAGAAGGTGGAGAAGAAACTCGGAGACGTCTCTCTCCGGATTTGGCCGCCGACGCAGAAAACCCGTGACGCCGTCGTGAACCGCCTGATCGAGACGCTTTCGACTCCTTCGATCCTCTCGAAGAGGTACGGTACGCTTCCGCAGGAGGATGCGCTCGCCGTCGCGAAATCGATCGAGGAGGAGGCGTACGGCGTCGCCTCCGCGGCCGTGTCCGGGGATGACGACGGGATCGAGATCCTTCAGGCTTATTCCAAGGAGATTAGCAAGCGCATGCTGGATTCGGTGAAGGCTCGGGCTCCGGCGGCGGCGACGGGTAATGGAAACGCCGGATCGGCGGCGCAGTCCGGCGAAGATGCTGGTGCGGTTTCTACTGAGGCCGCCAAAGAAGATGCGCCTACTGAGTCGGAGAAGACCGAGGCTTGAGTTCGGTGTGTTGTATACCCTTTATCTCTCTCTTTCTGTAGGGTTTGCTTTTGCTAGATTCACATGGGTGTCTCAGAGTTTATGATGAGATCTGTTCTTGTAATGACTGGTGGATTTCTCTTGCGTATTTATGGAGGCTTTTCCTAATATGCATTTCTTCAGTGCTCTCTGCTTGGTATTGGCATTGCTGTTAACATGCTCTAATGGTTGATGATCCTTGGGGCAATTCACTATCTTTGGAATCGTTGAGTGAGAGAAAAACATCTCGTAAATTCCAAAGCATCATTCTTTTTTCTTGTTTTTCAGTTGAATAAATCATTTCGTATGTTGTTATGCTTTCATTCAAGCAAGTGATTCGATGGTTTTGCTGAAGCGTGGTTATGATTCACTTGAATCATTTGCATTTCACGGTAAATGTGTAGACAAATCAATACCCACCTGTAGGATTCATTCTGGATTTGGATTTGGTAGAAGGATACACCAAGTTTGGCTTGTAGAGTTTACTATCTTATGAATCAATCATACCAAAAAGGGATTAGATGTGTTTTGTCTTCCTGTTTCGCCGGTTGTCCTCTTTGTTCTGTTTAGTTTCGATCCTATATGCGTTGTCTATCTGTGTGATGGGTGGTGTCTTTGAAAACGATGGAGTTCAAAGGAGCTGCCTTTGATAGAACAAGTGATGGATTTATCTTCTCTGTTCTCTGTTGTTTGTTATTCCATTCTTTTGAAATCCTTATGCAGCTCAGTTTGGAATTGCTTTTCTCTGAAATCTTGAACTGAGTCAGCTGGCTCTTCTCTGCTGTAACGACGGCCGGGTGACTTGAGTGCGTATAATCTATCCTTCGGGATCTCGGGGTAAGTTTGTTATTCCATCTTTGGTTTAGGGTTAAACCTGGTGTGAACTTGCTGTATATGTCTCTGTTCATGAGTTGCCTCTGTTTAGATATCTGAACCAGCAAATCTTTGTCTTTCTAGTTTATGATCTACTTGCCTTTGTGAGCTTATTTAGTTTATAGACTGTCCTGAATCCTGGACTCCGATGAAACTGTGATTGCCATTGTTCCCCCTCGGTAACTATTACGATCGAGTAAACATATCTGATTTTCGTGTATTCTGATGTTGCTGCATTGATTATCCGATTGTTGGGTTCGAGTTCGGGTTTTGTTGATCTCGGATAGGTAAACCGTGGGTACTTGGTTCGGCCTCGTTCTCGTCTGGATTGACCCGGATCGATTTGGGCTAATCTTGGTCTAGCAGATCCATTTGACATCCCAACCAAAGATGATCGATTATCGGTCTTTGGAATCGTGCTTAATGTGGAGATTAGAGTTTAACAAACTTAAATCCTATAAACCATCTTCTGTTAGCAAAAAGGGGTGGCTTAATCGGGTTTCGGTTCAGATTCGGTTCGATTATATTCGAGTTCGGTTATTTCGGTTTTAGAAAAATTATAACTGTTCGATTTTTACATAGAATTCGGTTCGGTTTGGTTATATTCGGTTTCGGTTTCGATTCGATTATGATAAAAATACTCATTTTCTTAAAGAAATTTACGGTCTTTTTGGTTATTTTTTATTCAGTTCGGGTTCGGATTCGGTTTTTTTGGTTTTAGAAAAATCATAATCATTCAGTTTTACATCTAATTTGGTTTGGTTACGTTATTCGAATCGATTCGGTTATCCGGTTATTAACCAAATAGGCCACCCTAGAAACCTGAGATTGATCCTTCATTTGTCTTTTAATCAACCCCTTGAGTATAAAACATGTTTGAACAGAGACGACCTTTTTTGTCTGAAGCTTTGAACACTTTTACCAAAACTTTTTTTTTGTCTCTCGTGTTATGGTAATTCAAATGTCTTTATATTAATTGAAAGATTTGAAAAAATTGTTTGGCTTGGTACTACTAATTTCCGAATTATCTATGAATTTTTTGAAATTACCAAATAAATATATAAAAACAACTAGTATCTTATGTAATTTAAGATTCAAAATTTTTAAGCAAAAAATATGAATTTTAAACTTTTTTTAATTTTTCCATTGTCACATCGATTTAATAGAAATTTAGCAGATATTAATATATATTCATGTATACTTAAAAACTTAAATTGGCGTGGTATGCGAAAGAAATCGGAAGGACGTGTATTTTGAATTTATAGACTATTACCGTAGTGTTATAAATAAAATATATTTATGGTGGAACTCATCGTTACTGTTCACACCGACTCACTGTTCATATATACGGTTACTGTTCACACCGACCGTATACATGAACAATAACTTCGGGATTTTTATAAATAGACCATTTGAATTCCTCCATTTATACACTTTCAAAAGAGAGAAATAAGAAATAAACTTGTTCTCTATTCTCCTAAATACAGTTTTCGGTTTATAATTAACGATCTAATATTCGGGTCGTTATATTTCTTCTGATTTCATAACAGTTAGATATATTTATATATTTATTTGATTATCTTCGAATTCTTGTTTGTTTCCGCGGGACCTTTTTTCCTGCTTTTATTTATTTTTTTTGGTTATCAATTTTTTTAATTTAGTTATAATAAAGTGAGGTTAGTTTTAAAAAACGCTCACCAAAATGATATTCAACTTGTCGAACCTTGTTTCGGTTTGATGGTTATAAATAAGGGTGGTGGTTTCGGTTCGGTTCTTCATAACCAAACCAAATCGAATCGAAAAATATGATTTTTTTTTTTAATTTGAACCATTCTAAATTCTCGAACGGTATTATTTTTATAAAACTGAATTTTTCTGAATCGAATGGAATTTTAAAAATCCCCAAAAACCAAAAATTTTTAAAGAAAATCTATCTTTTTTAATAAAAAAACGAAACTGAACCGAAACCGAACGGAACCGAACATAATATAAAAACCGATTGGTATCTATTTTTGTCAAATATAAAAACCGAACCGATGCATTCCCATTTCAAACCCGAACCGACTCCCGAAACGTACACTCTAGTTATAAGAAAAAAAGAAGTTATGAAATCATCCGTTTTTTTTAAACATTGATATTTAGGGGCCGACTGGTTGCACCGCCGCCACCCGCAAACGGAGCGGTTGCGGTTTTCGGCGGTTGCGGACGATTGAAAAACTGAATGGTTGAATCGCAACCAACCGCAACCGCAACCAAACTTGTGTTTTCTAATCGCAGCTTCCAACTTGCGTTTTGGTAGCGTTTTCCGACGTTTTGACAAAAAAACTAAAATATTTTTATTAGAAATTATATAAAATATTAATATATATATATTGGTGATGATTTTGTTTTGATATTATTTTTTAGTATTATATTTTAATAAAAAAATACAATAGTATAATTTTTAGGTTTAATAATGATTATTTTTAATAATTTTATAATAAAATTATTTTTTTTACTTGAAAATAAATTAAATTTATAATATTTATATTTTAAATTTATTATTTAATTATTATAAATTTGGTAAATAATTTTTATCAAATGATACGAAAAATTTAATTAAAACTATTATAAAAAATTATTTTTAAATAATATTTTTTTTGACAATTTATATCAAAACGCAACCGCAACCGTAATGAACCATTCACTTCTAACTGCACCCACTCGCAATCGCTACCAACAGCAACTTCTCAACCAATCAGTACTAATTATTTATAATCGCTATCAAACGTTTTGAAAACGCTACCACCCGCAACCGCAACCGCTGCGTTACAACCAGTCGAACCCTTAAATTATAACAGAATTTTAATTGTCAAAACAGTATGATCTCATATTTTTTTAAAATTTTGGTTTTGGACCTTATAGTTTTTTTCGTTATATTTATTTAAAACGAAATTATTTAAATTACAATGTCCATTGTTGATTTTTTTTAAATTAAAGGGAAAAAACAAATTAGTATCAATATATTTTAAAGAAAATATATAATTAAAAAGATCCGTGATTAAAAAAAAATATTAACTGGTACGAATAATGGTAAGGTTTTTTAAAAAAATCATGATTAAAAGAGCCTAAACTGTACAAAATAATAAAGTTTATGCTGCAAACAAAATTCTGAAGTGATTTAAAAAGTTGATTTTATGCATTAAATAACATGTTTTTCGGATTCTAAATGGTCTCTCAAATTTATAATAGAGAAATAGATAGATAATCATTAGATTTCTCATTATTCAATATAGAACATTACAACATTTACAATAGAAAACGAAATCACAAAATATCTTATTTAATAAATAAAATATCTAAAATATAGAAACAAAACAAAACTAAATATTATGTAATATTACGTAATATTTTCAAATCTTTTCCACATTTCTTTAATTTATCTGTTTTATGAAATCTGATTAAGGATGTAAAATGGTCCAACTCGACTCAGATCGTCCCGAGTCAACTGTTTCGGACTCTGTCTGGTTGCAACCCATTTTCATGAATTTCGTCTAGTATTGCGTAGAGTATCACGACGGAGAACATCAGGTGGCTTAGCATTGCTCCCATGGAGACGGGCATTGCGTTATGTCCAGATTGAGTAAAGAGAAGCTTGGAAGAACAATTTAAGCATGAGTTTTAGCCGTGGCTGACCTGGGAAGTGTACCAACTTGTGGATATGGCCCTGTAGGGTTCCGATCTCCCGAAACAAAGAGCTGAACTGAGCCGCATTTGAGGGCCAAATCGCAGAGGAGTAGGAGCAATTAAAGAAAAGATGCTCAGTGGTTTCTGGGGCCGTCGAGCATAGAGTACAGTTTGGTTGAACGTTGATTCCCCAGGAGCGCAATCTATCAGCCGTTGGCAGACGGTTCTTGACTGCTAGCCATGAGATGAAAGAATGCTTGGGAACCGAATTGGTGAACCACACACCTCTGAACCAGGGCACTGGAGATGGAGGCTGCTCAAGTCTTGCCCAGGCTTTACCCGTCGAGAATTTCGGAAGATCACTGTCGCACAAAGAGTCAGCCCAGTAGTAGGTATCCGCTGGAGCGGATGAGGAGGGTAGCTGATGTTCAATGATAGCACTTTGAAGTGCTAATGCTGCATCGGATCTAGCAGGAAAGAAGTCCCAACCTTTGTCTGAAACTGCACAGCTCACGGTAGCATTAAGGGGAACTCCAATTTGTCGCGGACCTCCTAGACCAAGAATATCAATGGCTCTCCCAATAGATAGCCATTGATCATACCAGAAGCTGCAGCAATCTCCTTTGCCAACTCTGCAGCGTATAAAATTATGCACAAGCGAACGGAGCTTCAGTAGGCGACGCCATGCCCAACTACCCTGATTGCCAATCTTCAGAGCCCATAAAGATCGACGCTTCAGCAGGTGCGATTTAACCCAGACTATCCATAGGGAACCACTTTTGGCAAATAGGGACCATAAGAGCTTGATACAGAGTACTTTGTTCCATGAGAGTAACCTTCTCAAACCCAAGCCACCAGATCGCTTAGGAACGCATATGGCCGACCATGAAACCTTAGCCCCTCTAGCAGAGTCCAGTAGTCCAGTCCAGAGGAAGGAGGCACACATACGTTCAATGTTACGAAGGCAGGATGACGGAAGAATGTAGGAAGATGCCCAAAAGTTGATGATGCTACATATGACTGATTTAATCAGCTGCAGCCGACCTGCAAAAGACAAGTGTATAGCAGTCCATGAACACATGCGACCTCTGATGATGTTCCCGATGCCCACTCCCAACTCTTCCGCAATTGTGACAACAGTTGCAGTACTGCCGTCATCGATGAATAAACACGTCTTCTGCCTATTTAGTCTGAGGCCAGAAGTGGTGTGGAAATTGTCAAAAACTGCCACGATAGCTGAAAGAGAGCGTGTTGAGGCATCAGAAAAGACCAGGATATCATCAGCGAAGCAGAGATGCGAGACTAGTGGTGCCCGACATTTCGGAGGTAGAGTGATTAACCCTTCTGTTACAGCCCGATCAAGTAGTTTGGATAAGACCTCAATAACCAAGACGAAGAGGTACGGAGATAATGGATCCCCTTGGAGAAGCCCACGCCTTCCTGCAAAAAACCCCGTAGTTCCTCCATTAAAAGAAACAGAGTAAGTCGGGGTAGTAATACACTCTCGTATCCAGTTGATAAACCTAGCTGGGAGACACATGGCTTTTAGGACAGCCAGGATGAATTCCCATTGTACTGAATCAAAAGCCTTGCGTAGGTCAATCTTGAGCAGTCTTTTTTGCAATCAGCTTGAGGAGGAGAAGTCCGCTACTAGTTCTGTGGCAAGCAGTATGTTTTCCGAGATAGAACGCCCCGAAATGAACGCAGTTTGGTTGTTTCCCACAGCAGATGTCATAATTGTCTTAAGCTTCCGTACAAGGATGCGAGAGATAATTTTGTATATAGTGTTGCAACTGGAGATGAGACGGAAATTCTTCAAAGAATCTGCGGCTTTAACATTAGGTATGAGCGCGATCAGAGTGGTATTCCACTGCTTAAGTAGCCTACCAGACGTGAAGAACTCCGTAACTGCCGCCACTAGTTCTTGACCAACAATATCCCAACATCCAGTGAAAAATTCCACGGGAAAGTCGTCAGACCTGGGAGCCTTGCTGTGGGGCAAGCTGAAAACCTCAGCTCGGATCTCTTCCTCGGAAGGGATGGCTGTCAGAATCCTCGATGCATCATCAGGGCATCTAAAAGGCAGCAACCTCCTGATTTCCTCAAGCGACCAGCAATTAACCTCTGGATCACTTGCTCCCAGAATGTATTTATAGTAATTGATTGCCATGGATTTCAACACATCAACGTCATAAATTTTGTGACCTGCATCATCCACAAGAAAGCGAATAGCATTAGTAGCCCGCCTCGATAGGACCGTGCGGTGGAAGAACTTTGTATTTTGGTCTCCCTCCTTAAGCCATCAGATACGAGACTTCTGCCTCAGAAATGACTCCTCCGCAACGGCAAGGGTTGTCCATCTGGCTCGCAATTCTGCCTCATGGGTGGCGGCCTGAAGAGATGGATTATCCAGCAAAGACTCTTGGGCATTGTGTAGGTCCCTTAATGCTCCCATGACCCTCTACTGGATGTTACTCAGTGAGTTCCGGTTGAGCTCTCGCAGGGGCTTCTTTAGCGCCTTCAGTTTGGATAATAGGCGATACATAGAGAAACCTGGAGTCGAACCCGAGGACCAGACGTTCTCCATGAGAGGCTGAAACTGTGGAAGCTGCATAAGACAGTTAAAAAATTTAAAGCTGGTGCGTCTTCTGCGACTCGGGTTAAGATGAAGAGTGACTGTGCAGGGGGAATGATCCGATGGGGCTAGAGCTTCAAAAGTGGCATAAGAATCAGCAAAAGTCAGCATCCATTTTTCATTAACAACCGCTCTGTCGAGTTTTCTTGCTATAGGATTTCCTGCACTACTGTTTGTTCACGTGTAGTGCCTTCCCCTAGCAGCAAGGTCAAACAGTCCATTACTGTACAGATAGTCCTGCAGATCGAACATGCCAGAGTGTGGCGTAAATGGCATCAAAGGCGAAGCATGTTCAGATGGCCGCAGTATTTGATTGAAGTCTCCAATAAGCATTCAAGGTCTATCAGTGATTAGATCATTGGATGCTAGAGAGGAGATTTCTGCCCAGAGTTCACGCCTTTCACCCGATGTATTCTTCTCATAGATGAAGGAAAGAGTTACGTATTCATTGGTTCCAAGGTTGAAAACACCGCATGTAATCATCTATGTCGAGGCTTTGTAAACAACAACCGAAAGATTCCCATGCTATCAAAATTCTCCCTAGCAGAGCTGAGTCAAGATTCGAGGTGGACTGCCAACCGGGGAAAATGTGGTTTGCAATCCGAATGGCTTCGGCTTCATCTCGAATTCGTGTTTCAATGAGGCCTCCAATAAGTGCCCCTTGCGAGGAGGTCCAGTCCTTAACACCTCGCTGCTTCGAGGAGCTATTAAGGCCGCGTACATTCCAACAAAAAATCTTCATGCTATCTGTTTTACCAAAACAATGTTTCCAAAAAAAACCCAAAAGCAACGTGGGATCACGAGGGGTTAGTTGGTACAGCCCTTGCCTCTATGGCCCTTTTTGTCGGAGGGATCGACAATCGGGTCGTTAGGGCAGGATATATGTCGGGACCTAAAAAGACGCTGGACTTCCTTGACCAATTGCTCCTCTGACTCAAATTGCAATTTGGTATAGCAGGGATTAGATGTTTTAGGGGAGGGCTGGGGTGAGATGTCTTTACCAGCTGTGGGGTGAGGGGGAGAGGCATGAGGATGGGGGATGGATTTTGATGGAGAAGAGGAGGTAGCAGATGGCGGAAGAGTGGATAATGGAGGGGGAGTTTGGTGTTTAGGGGCTGAAGGCTCAAGAGCACTCACAAGGGCAACGTGCTCTGGTGATGCACTAGGCACGAGGTTAGGCATAGTAGGGCTTATAGGGCTCGGATTTTGAAACAGGGGTATTGGAGCCTCATTACCCGAAATCTGATCCTTTAACGGACAGTGTGATAACTTGTGGCCAAATTCATTGCACCGCGAGCAACGAGGGGGTAACCACGCGTATTCAATATGAACTTGAACCACCTAACCACTATCATCCTCAATTTCAACAACCAGTGGAAGAGGGCCACCGAGTTGGACCTCTATCTTAACCCGAGCTTCGTCAATGCTTAATGGGTCGAGCCGCATTTTGTCCGTGTGTAGATGTTCGCCGATCCCCGAAACGATGTAACTAATGCCTTTTAGCGAATACATTTCGGTTGGAATGTGCTTGAGTGTGACCCAGATCGGGGCAGAGCTCAATGTTGGCTTACGAAGTGAAGCAACAGGGGTCCATTCAGAGAGCATGAACATGACGTCCGCCACTCTCCATATGCCCACCTCAAGAACCCATTCTCTAGTAGCCAAGTCGGGGATGCGGACGAGACAGGCGGAGTCACTGGCCTTACGGACAATTAGTTTCCCTTTTTTGCCCCAAATGGGGTTGAGAGCTTGGAAGACCTTCGAAGGGGAAGGAGCCATGCCATAAAACTGACAGATGAGATAACCTTCCCAAGTTCTGGATGCTTCCATAAAGACTGAGCTCGGGACACGTATTCTAGGGATCCCCTCCTTCGAGTAAGTGGGAGCTACCGTTCTCGAGAGATTGCGGGAAGTAGCACGAAGTCTCTTAGCCCATAGAAATTGAGGGCTAGGGGAGGGAGGAGCAAGGGGGCAAGTAGCTCCCTGGGGAAGGGAGGCGGGTGGATCAGTGGAACCCCTAGGGTTAGAAGGGGAGGAATTGCCCGGTTGAGTGGGGCTGGGAGGAGGCTTTTTTAGAGTGGAAAGGGGTGGAAAGTCATGAGGTAGAAGAAAATCTGGAATTTGCGAAGACGGTGGTGGAGTTACGGGATGAGTGGCCTCAGAGGCGGTGGGATTTGGGGGATGGGGTGCAGGAGAAGCGGTGATTTCGGGTGGGTCAGGCGGATGAGGGAGTGGGAGAGGTAGTGGGGGAGTCGATTGCAGGGGAGCGGTGGCCACCGGTGAGGTCTCGACCTTAACCGGGGTGGGCGAATCCGATTTCGCCCTTCGAGAGGAATTAGGAGAACCAGACTTCTTCTTCCTTGCCATGTAGGAGGTAGATCTGGTGGTGGGGATGAAATTGCTGGCCGGCTAGCGGTCGGCCGTCGAAATAACGTCGTTGGATACTGCTACGAAGATCGCCCTAGTGTTCGCCTCTCTCTCCGAGATTTCGTAGTTTTGTGCAAATAAAATCGAAGAAATTTTGAAAACCCTCCATATATGTCTTGAATCCTCTTGGTTTCATTAGGAACTCGTAAACCTTGTCTCGTTGTTTTATGTAAATCATGTTTCTTGGATTTGAACAGAGATGACCCATTGTATCCGAAGCTTAACTCCTCACCAATATTAAGGGCGTCAATCGGACTCATCCGCATCTACATTCAGCCCGAAAATTTTGGACTCGGACTCGAGCCAGTCCAATTTTTTTGGACTTAATAAATCAAGCCCAAAACGCAACCCTATAAAACTTTGGCTTGGATCGGATTCGGATCAGATCAGACCGTCCACTTAGTACATATAAAAATTCACATTTATATGTTTTTAACTTACCTTTTTTAAAAATAAAAATTGGGTTTTCAGATCGAGTTAAAATCCGTTGGACTTAATCCGAAAAAAGCCGAACCCGATTTAGACTCAACCCGAAAACCTGAAACTTTTCGAACTTAAAGTTTTCGAACTTAAAGTTTTAAACACAAAACCCGCTATTTTTGGGCAGATTTGGATCGGATTTCGTATTTCTCACCCAAATTGGCATCCCTAACCAATTTACATATTCTTGACTTTTTCATTTTTTCTTTTCCTCGTGTTACACGTCGGCTTGATTTTATTGAATAAAACTAGGGATTAATTTATTTATTTTTTAAAACAATTGCTTCATTTGGTCCGAATTTTCCGAGAATTTTCTGTCTCGGAATTATCAAATAAATATGTAAACATCGATAATATCGTATAATTTTCTGTCTCGGAGTAGTATGGATTTTAAATATTTGTCTTTATTTTCTTTTTATATGTGACATATGTTAACTATTACTAGCGTGATGTATATGTATTGTTATTGATGTTTAATGTAATGCTAATTTTGTTCATTTAAATTGATGTGGCGTGTGAAGAAATCGGAAAAATAACTAAAGTTCATATATTTTTCATTTAAAAAATTCAGATTACGTGGGATTATGCGATATTAGATATGTTCATGCGTTTACACAACAATTTTGTAATGATTAATGGACATTCATAAAGGTTTTTCTAATTTTCCTAATTTTTATTTATTTTGTTTATCTTAATTTCTTTATTTTAGGTTTAAAGTGGGTTAAGTTATCAAAACACCCATTTCCTTCTCTTAAACGAATGATTAATAAATAGGAATTATATCAAAAATATCATTCTTTTAGTATTTGGATTTCAACATATATCATCCTTTATCGGTAGACCTATGATCCATGTGACCAGAAATATAGTTTGGTCATATGTTAGTCTCATTGATTATAACGTTAAATTTATAACGATCACACTAATTCATTATATTCATATCTTGTATATATCACTAATCATTTGATAAAAACATTATAAATTTAACGTTATGACCAATAAGATCAATATGTGATCAAACTATATTTCTGGTCACATGATCATAGATGGAGAATGTTAAGTATTAAAATTAAAATAGCAAAGAGAGCGTAATTTTTATAATGCCCTGATTAAATACATTATTTTTTTGGCTTGTGACTTATACACACTTAAATATTTACCAAAAAAAACTTATATACTAAAATAAAATTTCCTTATCTCAACGAAAAAAAACTTTTACAAAGTACAACATTGGTTTATGAAAAATAAAAAAATGCCCATCAAAATTAATTTCTAAGACCACATCACATTTGAATAAACCAATTCTTATCCTATAAAATAAAAAAAATGTAGAGATGTACAAATCCAATCCAAATCCACGTAATGAATAGATCATCAAAAGATAAGAAGAAGAAGAAGAAGTCTTCAATGTCCAGGGCCTTTCCTGCTTGGCCCCGAAGCCAACCTAAAAGCTAAGCTCCTCTTCCATGTACGACCCCTTGAATTGTTCGCCGCCGCCGCAAAGGACCCAAACCCACCGCCGGCCTCCTCCTCCGGCGCCGCCGGCGGGTGATCACAGCCGTTCATCTCCCCTTCCTTTGATCGTAGGGCTCTGCTTTCAACTTCACCAAACTTCAATGAGACCATCAACAAGATCATTCCCAACACCATCAACACTCTCTTCTTCTCCATGATCTCTCCCTCTCTCTCTCTCTCTCTCTCTCTCTCTCTCTCTCTCTCTCTCTCTCTATGGGAGATGGGTTTGTGATTAATGGAGCTGTCGAGTGATTCTGCTTTCGGGGGCAGGTGTACGTGTATATATATGCGTGTGTATGTGTGTGTGTGTATACAAAAGTTTTTTTCTTGACCACGAATGTTGAAGATATGCCCTTTTAATTTTCAACTGCGATCTTTGAAGCTTTCTCTCTCGTTTTCCATCTTTATGCCCTTTTTATAACCTTTTTTTTTTCTTGTATTTTGTTAAAATTTAATTAAATATTTTTAATTAAAGCGGATTCAATGGTTTTTTGTCTCTTTCTCAACCTACCATGCTCCTGAAATTTTGAAGCTTTTACTTTGCCGATGCATGTTTTGACTTTTATTTTCCCTAAACCACTTTTAATTAATGTAATATATATATATATATACACACATATATACATATACATATATGTATATCGCATGCATTGTAGAAATGCATAATATAATTGACCACTCAAAATGTGGAAAAAAAAGGCTTCTTCTTTTTTCCTTGTACAATATAAAACTATATAATTGATTCACCATGCACCGCCTAATTATCTGCAAAAAAGATATAAATGTGTTATTTTAAATAAATATTTCGTTTACTATAAAGGGTCGTCGATTGTTTCTCTTATAAATTTGGACTTAGAATCTGTTACAAGTATTATAGGGAATAAATGAACATTTTGGCGCTATATTATAAATTCGACCGTGTATAACTTGGAAAACAAGGAGTATATATATATATATATATATATATATATATATATATATTGGGTTTCTTGTTGAACAAACAAAAAAGACTTTCGAATTGGAACTCATCTCTCTCCGAGTTTTTATCTTTTGACCTTTTTTTCTTCCTCTGTATGTGTGATGAAGTTGATATGCTGACGCAGTTCGTGACGTCATCAGACACATCCACACGGCATTACATGAGATGGTCGGAGAAACCAAGAGAGGGGTAAAATGGGAAATTCATAAAAACCATGAGGAGGAGGGGTAAAACCGGAAATTCACAAGAAAGCCGCGACCAATGTCCAACGGTGGTGATGACGTGGCGGCATAAACGTGTTTGCGTTTTCTCTTGCACCGACGAGTTCGACCATGTCTCCACGCGTTCTCCTCTGCTTTCCGACTTCCCCTTTGACCGGTTGGATTTTCCCGGTTAACCTATAACCGAACCGAATTAAATCTCCGAAATTCGGAACCGGATTTAATTTTAAACATAAATAGTTTGGACAAAACCTCTGATTCCGATTAAATATTCCCAGTTAACTTATAACCGAATTGGAATTATCTATCCCTATAACATGTGATGAAGATAATTCAATAAACCGTATTCTCGTTGTCTGCTCGAATACCATTTTGATATATTTCAATCGGTTTTGGATAAATTATCATTTTTTTAAACGCAATTATTTTTTTTGTATACGTTTATAAAGTTTTTATAAAATAGATTTCGTAAGATGTTATTGAGTATTAGCTTAGTATTCCATCAAATATTGCACCTTTTGAACTTAATATTATCTTGGAAAAATCCCAAAAATAATATAAACTTCTCAATTTTTACAAAACAAAATAAAAACTTTATTTTTTATTCGTATTCTATTTTTCAGTCAAAAATAAATCCAAACTTTATAATCATTATCATTTTTAAACATAAATACTAATATAACGTATAAATATCATATATATCAAATCAACACTTTGATCATATTTGACACTTAATCAACCAGATATGAGTACGTCATAAGGGATGGGCACTTCGGTTCGAGAATTTAGTACCGACCCGATCCGTCCTGAAACCGAACCATACCGAACCGAACCGAATAACGTTTGGTTCTAATTTGGTACACTTTTTATGGAACCGAATGAACCGTTTCCGAACCGAACTGTATGAATACTGAACCGAATCGTATGAATAACGAACCAAAATTCGAATATTCCACTGATATATGTGTAAATATTATAGTTCGGTACTTATTTGGTATTCATATAATGGTACCGTTCCGAACCGAACCGAACCGAACCGTTTAACATTCGGTTCTAATTTGGTACACTTTTTATAAAACCGAAAATACCGTTCCCGAACCGAACCGCTTGAATACCGAACCGAAACCCGAAACGCCCACTCCGATCATATTACTGATAAGTTTAAAAACGACAACTGTTATAAAATTTAGTTTTATATAATATTCAAAAATGAAGCTGAAATTTTATTTGATAAAAAACAAAGTTTATATTTTATTTTGTAAAAATTTACAAATTTAGGTATTTTTTGAGATTTTTTTATTATTATCTATAAAATTTTATTTTTATATATAGTGTTATTCAAACATTTATTTGAGCTTTGACTTTTTTAAGCGGAAATTATAAAACAACAAAGTAAAATGTGCTGGAATTTGACTAATTTAGTAGGGTGGACAATTTCGGCTCCATTAACAAAAATCAAATCGATCTGACCGAAAATATATAAAATTATACTGAATAAAACCAGAATTTGTTTCTAAAAAAGAAACATTTTCAACAAAAACAAAATTCGTACCAAATATAAAAATAAATCAATAAAATAAAATAAAAATATTTTTTATCAATAAAAAGTGAATTGAAACGGGATTGAATCTGACATCAAAATTGAAATAAAAAAATCCAAATCCTAAAACCACCGAGAAAATCGAACCCAAGATCCGAAATGTTAACTCCTAAAATTGAATGTCTTTCCATTTTTTTTTACCGACAAATGATTTCAAATTTTATTTTTGTTAAAAAAAAGAAAATTAGAAAAATAATATTTAAACTTGTCAAATTTGAAAAAATAAAACCTTAATTATTTTTTTTCTCAAATAAATCCTTAACTCTAATGTTCTTATATAAATAGACCTCAATTTTCAACTATGTAATATTTAACCGTCAAGACTTACGCGGCATTCCAAACGATAACATACCAATTTTGATTTTAACTAAAGGTTGCTATATCAAAAATTATTATTCTTCTAATTTTCCTAAAAAATTAAAGGTCTATAAAAATCGTATATTAGTATCCAAATTTATAAAAAAAGGTTAGATAAAAACACAATTTTTAAAATTTCCAGATAAATATACGAACTCTTTCTAACGATTCTATAAAATATATCATAAATTAAACTCTTAAACAATTCTCCAAAACCATCATGTTAAGATGATTTTTGAAATCATTTAAAAATTTAGGGTTTGACGTAGAAGTTAATAAGAACACATATATTTATTTAGAAATTTTAAAATTTGTACATTTGTCTATAATGTTTTTAATAAGTTCGTATATTAATATATGATTTTTTCTACATGTTGATGTGTGTTTCAATGATTTTCTATATTTCTGATAAAATTATCTAAATTTTAAAACAATAGTTTTCCTAAGAATCTTAAGCGAAATTTTTGTTTATTTTTTCACGTGTCAAGTAAATTATCATATAATATGTAACCAAGACTTATCATGTTTATATATATAAAAAAATGTACACAAGACTTATAATGTTTATATATAAAATTTTGGAGTTTTTTATAAATTAAATGAATGGAGATATTTTTATAAGTTATTCTCCAATTTATTTATAAAACTTACACATTTATATCTTTTAAACTTAAAAAATATCTATGACTTTTGGAAATTTTACAATTTTTTAGGAGACTTTGTTTTCATTTTTCAAAACACACCAAGAAAAACAAATAAGAGTTTTCTAAAGAAAAGAAAACACATATTTTCTCTTTGTGATTCAAATCGTTCTTTGAATTCGACAAGGCACGGAAGTTTGAAGTACCACTGTTCCGGTGAGGTACGTCTGTCCTATCCTTGGAGTATATATTCTATTAACCGTAGTTACCGCGCGAGAAATAATTTCTTTAAGGACGGTTCGCCGTGGGTTCGGATTTGGTTTTCTGGATTTTGAAAGTTATATTGATATAGTGATACTCGTTTGATCATAACTTTCTTTACCATTATCGGAATTGCATGTTCTCGATGTCATTTCGTAGATATCGAAATTATCTTTCTAATGGTATATAGCATGAATGATTTGGTTGTATTTTCTGAAAGTTATTAAACTCGAAATTCTTGGTATAAAATTGAAAATTAACTATGTATGAATGAATATGAGACATATAAAATAACACACCTAACAAGTTTGAGAAAATTATTTTGTATTGTGTTATTATATATTGTCTTGTTATTGGTGGAAATGAGCTTTCGTCCTTGAAGAGACAAAATAAAGTTTTTTAGTTTCGGAAAAAAAACCGAGAAAATATTCAAGTGTTGACGGCGAGAAAGTTTTGCCAAGAAAAAAAAGTTGAATAATTATGCGCTCTATATATAGAGTTGGCTCCCTCTTACCTGGAAACGATCTAAATAACACTTAAATCATTTTATGGTTTCCTCGTTGAGGTTGAGATTATTATCCGCGTGGTTAAATAATCGAGTTCAGAAATTATTACCGTAAGGTTTTAAAATTCTGATATTTTTAGTTGTAATACTAGTATTATGATTTTCAGAAAATGACTGAAAATATTGTTGCTATGCATGTGGTTGTACCCACAGTGACTCCCTCTGCACCAGCACCTGCGAAAAAATGGCCAAGTTTTTCGGTGTTGATTTCAAGAGGTGGCAGGTAAAAGTGTTCTTTTTTTTTTTGACAATATTGTCATTGCAAAGATACATCAACAAAGATGCTCCTAAACCGACAAAGTCTATACCGGAAAAGGAACGCTTTGTGGTTATTGAAGCTTGGAAGCGCTCACAATTCCTGGTAAAAACTATATTTTGGGTGATTTAGATGACTCATTATATAATGTCTTTTGCATAACTGTTACTTCACGAGAGTTATGGGAGTTTGTCCAAAGACTAAGAATAAAAGTACTGTTAACATCATAGAGATCTCTTCCAGAGTTAAATATATTGATTTGTATGTCATGATCTCAGAAGTTAATTTGGTTGGAAATCCCAAAGAATGGTGGATGGATTCCGGTACTACCCACCATGTATGTGCCAATAAGTGGATGTTCTCATCTTATTTTCACGCTAAAGATGGAGAAACTGTTTTCATGGGAAATTCCATAACTGCAAAGGTTGAAGGGACTGAAAATGTTGCCCTCAAGATGACCCTTGGAAAGATAGTAACTCTCACTAATGTTCTTCATGTACCGGAGATTCAGAAGAACTTAGTGTCGATATCGATGATGGTGAAACATGGATTCAATTGTGTTTTTGTTTCCGATAAGCTTGTAATAAGTAAGAATGACATGTATGTAGGAAAAGGTTACCTCACTGAGGGATTTTTCAAACTTAATGTAATGATCATGAATGTTAAAAGAATGATTCTTCCGCTTACTTACTCGAATCGTAATCTATGGCATGCTAGATTGGGACACGTGAATTACATACAAGTCTTTGAAAAAAATGATCAATTTGGAATTGTTACCCAAATTTGATTGTAAGCAATCAAAGTGTGAAGTCTGTGTTGAATCTAAGTTTACTAAACATTCTTTCAAATCGGTTGAGAGAAATAGTGAACCTCTAGACCTAATTCATACAGATATTTGTGACATGAAATCATCACCATCTCGCGGTGACAAAAAGTTTTTTATAACTTTTATTGATGATAACACACGATATTGATATGTTTATTTGCTTAATAATAAAAAGGGAGATTCACATATTAAATATTGAACTTTAACCAAATTTTCAAATTAATTACTCAACTATCTCACTTCCAAATTAAATACACAACTATATTTAAACTCACAAATAAAAACTAAACTTTTCAAATTTTAACTTATATCTAAGGGATAATCCCAAAAAAAACCTCTATACTTTTTTTTCGTCACAATTTGCTACCTATACTTTTTTTATCCCAAAAAACCCTATACTTTTCAAAATTTTAAAAATTATACACATTCATATACACATATTAATTATTATAAACACAAAATCAATTACACATTTATTTTCTACAAAATTAATTGCACATTTATTTTATATATTTATATGTATATATATGTTTTATATATATGTGTGATATATGTATTTTTTCCTAAAAATTATTATATATATAAGAAACTATTTATATGAGTTCAATTGTCCAAAAAAACATGTTCTTGGAAAATAGTTTCTTATATATAAAATAATATACAAATAATAAATAGTTTCTTATATATATAATGATTTTTAGGAAAAAAATACATATATCACACATATATATAAAACATATATATACATATAAATATATAAAATAAATGTGCAATTAATTTTGCAGAAAATAAATGTGTAATTGATTTTGTCCTTATAATAATTAATATGTGTATATGAATGTGTATAATTTTTAAAATTTTAAAAAGTATAGGGTTTTTTTTATTAAAAAAAGTATAGGGTTTAAATTGCGACGAAAAAAAAAAGTAAAGGGTTTTTTTTTGGATTATCCTTTAGATATATGTTAAAATTTGAAAAGTTTAGTTTTTATTTGTGAGTTTTAATATAGTTGAGTATTTAATTTGGAAGTGAGATAGTTGAGTATTTAATTTGAAAATTTGGTTAAAGTTCAATATTTAATATGTGAATCTCCCTAATAAAAATGAAGCTATTATTGCATTTAAATAATATAAAATTGAAGTTGAGACACAACTTAATAAAAGGAACAAAATGGTCAGAAGTGATAGAGACGGTGAATATATATCTTCGTTTGAAGAAATATGTTTGGAATTTGACATTATTCACCAAACAACCACCTCTTACACTCCACAATCCAATGAAATTGCAGAAAGGAAGAATCGAATGCTAAAGGAGATGATGAATGCCTTATTGATAAGTTCTGGTTTACTCGAGAATATGTGGGGAGAAGCTATATTAATAGCTACTCAAATACTCAATCGAGTTCCCTACAGTAAGACACAATCCATTCCATTTGAAAAATGGAAAGGAAGAAAGCCTAACTTAAATTACTTCAAAGTGTGGGGATGTCTAGCAAAAGTCCAGGTTCCTTTCCCTAAAAGGGTTAAAATAGGACTGAAAACGATAGATTGCGTTTTCATAGGTTATGCTACAAAAAGTAAAGCAAACAGATTTTTGGTTCACAAATCTGAAATCCTCGATAAAGGAATACGGTGATTGAGTCAGATAATGTTGAATTCTTTGAAACAATCTTCCCGTATAAAAGAGAATGTGAATCGATTAATAAAGGAACCAAGCGAAATCGGGAAGTGAATACAGAGGATACATAAAGTGAGATAGAACCTAGACGTAGTGCACGTCAAAGGACTGCTACCTTGTTTGGTCCAGATTTTCTAATATTTATGTTGGAAAATGAGTCTCAAACGTATAAAGAAACTGCGACTTCTCCAGAAGCTCAATACTAGAAAGAGACTATCATAAAATTGAATCCATACTAAGCAACCATACGTAGGAATTGGTTGATCTACCTCCAGGGAACAAACCATTAAGTTCCAAATGGATTTTTAAAAGGAAATTGAAAGATGATGGTACTATTGACAAGTACAAGGCGAGATTAGTTGTGAAAGGTTTTCAACAACGAGAAGGTATTGACTATTTTGATACATATTCGTCAGTCTCGAGAATTACATCCATTCGGGTGTTAATTGCTTTGGATGTCATCTATGAATTTCAAATCCATCAAATGGACATTAAAATCGTCTTCCTAAATGGAGATTTAGAGGAAGAAATCTATATGGAATAATCTGAAGAGTTTGTGGTTCCGAGAAAAGAAGGTAAGGTGTGTCGAGTTGTTAAGTCTTTGTATGGACTTAAACAAACATAAAAACAATGGCATGCTAAGTTTGACAATATAATATTGACAAACGCTTTCAAGATTAATGAGAGTGATAAATGTATCTACATTAAGAACACTCCTAATCGAATTGTTATTGTGTATTTATACGTGGATGACATGTTGATAATGAGTAATGGTATTTCAACTATAAATAATACAAAGCGTATGTTATCCACAAGATTTGATATGAAAGATTTAGGAGTTACTGATTTAATTCTTGAAATTAAAATCATTCAAACTCCTGAAGGTGTTGTGTTATCTCAATCTCATTATATTGAGAAAGTGCTTGAGAAGTTTAAATACTTGGACTTCAAAGTCGCAAGAACTCCAATTGGACTATGCAAGAGTTCTAGGAAGTGTGATGTATATCGCAAACTGGACTCGACCAGATATTGCTTGTGCAATAAGTAAACTCATTCGATATACGAGTAATCCAAATCCTAGTCATTGGATGGTAATGAAACGTGTTTTGGGGTATTTAAAACATATGCAAAATTACATATTACATTACTCTAAATATCCACATGTGCTTGACGCATATTGTGATGCAAATTGGATTACTGGATCAAGTGAAACAAAATCAACGAGTGTATATGTCTTCACAATTGGAGGAGGAGTTGTGTCTTGGAAATCTTCAAAACAGACATGTATCGCTCGTTCTACCATGAAAAGTGAATTCATAGCTTTGGATAAAGCTGGTGAAGAAACTGAATGACCTAGGAATTTTTTGGAAGATATTCCATATTGGCCCAAATCATTGATACCTATATGCATACACTGCGATAATCTCGCTGCTATAGGAAGGGCATGCAGGAAGTGTGATGTACAACAGAAAGTCTCGTCACATTAGACGAATACATAATACCATTAGACAACTAATCTCAAGTGGCGTTATCACTGTTGACTACGTGAAGTCAAAAGATAATGTAGCCGATCCACTTACAAAAGACCTTTGTAGAGATTTAGTTGAAAAATCACCCAAGGGAATGGGTTTATGGCCAAGGACAAGTTAGTACGGTGGCAACTATACCTAAGGCTGGAGATCCCAAGAACAAAGTTCAAAGAGAATACAAAGTCGTAACTAACGGTTCAACATTGTCAAATATAACCTAACTCATTCTCATGATGAGACAATGTTCTATGGAAAACGATAAATTATACAGCTTTAAGTTATAAAACTTAAAAGTTAAGAAATTTTTAATGGTTCCTAAATTTGACATGATCAAATAATGTATCTTCAGAGATGACACGCTTAGGAAACCACCTATGTGAAAGTGAAGTGTGGGTCGCTTCAAGGAGAATAATGGTTTGCCAGTTCTCTACGCTTTCATGAAACCAGACAGGTGTTCATGGCTAAAACGAACACAACAGTGAGAACCAAAGACGATTAAGGATTTATTGTGTGGTTTAGATTGTCTTGGTATACATAAAAAACCGTCAGTTCAAAGATATCGCATCTACCGATTGGTGAGTATATCCGATTTAAATCCACCATGGAAAGTTCAAAGGGAACCTACTTATCCAGATACAATTAGTTCTTCATAGTTGAATCACAAAGGTTGCATAGTTTTCAAAGAGTTTTCTAAAATTCTCCGGGGGATTGTTGGAGTTTGTTATAAATTAAATGAATGGAGATATTTTTACAAGTTATTCTCCAATTTATTTATAAAACTTACACATTTATATTTTTTAAACTTAAAAAATATTTATGACTTTTGGAAGTTTTACAATTTTTCAATCCTATGAATAGGAGACTTTGTGTCCATTTTTCAAAACACACCAAGAAAAACAAATAAGAGTTTTCTAAAGAAAAGAAAATACATATTTTCTCTTTGTGATTCAAACCGTTCTTTGAGTTCGATAAGGCATTGGAGTTTGAAGTACCACTGTTCCGGTGAGGTACGCCCGTTCTATTAACTGTAGGTACCGCGTAGGGAATAATTTTCATAAGGAGACACAATTCGCCGTGGTTTCGGATTTGGTTTTCTAGGTTTTGAAAGTTATATTGATATAGTGATAATGTTTTGATCATAACTTTCTGTACCGTTATCAGAATTGCATGTTCTTGATGTCATTTATAGATATCGAAATTATCTTTTTAATGGTATATAACATGCATGATTTGATTGTATTTTCTAAAAATTATTAAATTCGAAATTCTTGATATGAAATTAAAAATTAACTATACATGAATGAATATGAGAAATATAAAATAGCACACCTACCGCAAATAATTAAGAATTACATATTGTTTTTCTTTCAAAACACGGCCCATTACACGGCCCAATATACGATGATAAGTGGGCCCAGTTATCTCTCGACGCTTGGCTCTTCTCACTCATTCTCTCCTCACTCAGTTCGGTCACCACCGCCATTGAACGCGCTAAAATGACCTCTCTTCTCTTCCTTAGAACCCTCCCGCTCCTCCGCAACGGCCTTCTCAGCCACCGTTTCCAACGCTGCGTTGCAGACGGTGGAATATTCTCTCACCATCGGCGTCTCTGGTGCTCGCTCGCCGAGCATCCGCCGCCGGAGGCGGAAGATGATTCCTCGCCTGAGAAAAGATCGGCTGAGGTGACCGCGACGACGTCTCTCGGTTACGCTCGTTTTGAGGATCCTGATTATCGGAAGTGGAAGGACGTGGAGGCGGAGATTCTTCGGGATATTGACCCGATAATGTATCTGGCCAAAGAAATTCTTCACTCTGATAGGTAATTTTTCGCCTTCATTCGAATTGGAATGTGGTTGAGATACATCGACCTTGATCGTATTGTCTGTTTGTGATTTTGACGGTCTTGTCGGAAGGTGAAATCATGGGACAAACTCAAATGCTTCACTGTTAAGTGATTGACTTCTAGTAATCATTTCAAGCACAAATTAGGTTGATGGATTATCTGTGATTGTCCTGAAAGTACGGTGGTTAGGTTTTTCTGTGTTCATGCTAATCTTGGAATCTTCATGTTTGAGTGTTCTCTGTGATCATCTTCTCACATCAGATAGATACACACCACATGGATTTGTTTTCTCAAATTTGTAGATTCCTGAGCTCAAATGTACAAAGGCTGCTTCACTGAGAAGCAAAACTGTTGACAAGTTTCTTAGAGTGTCGTGTTGTCGCATGAACTGAAAATTTTGGAGCAATATGATTCCTCAAAATGATATCTTTTCTGGTTTGGGTTGTGGTTTAACTGTTAACCCTTTTTGTACATTGGAAAAAATGCTTAGAATTCCTATGATCACTCTACTTTGCACGATAACCAGAAAGGAAAGGAATCGTAAGAGGTTTGGAGCGTTGTTTGATGCACTGATGATCGAGGAAGCATCTTTTTCTTCGACCAGCGATGTTGGAGATGGCATCTCTTTGCCTGCACGTTGTCGTAGAATCCTTTTCGTGTGATAAAAGTGTTTTCATTTTCTTTGCTAATAGGTACGTAGATGGAGAACGCTTAACATATGAAGACGAGAAAGCCGTGGTGGAAAAGCTTCTTGCATATCACCCTCACTCTGACGATAAAATCGGCTGTGGCCTTGAGTTTATAATGGTGAGTTTGAGCTGCTCAAATACCCTTTTCCCTCTTTTTCATCGGGTTTTTGCTCGAGCTATTAAGCTGGGATTAGATAGAGGTATCATTTGATTTTATAATGGTGAGTTTGTGTGTGTCATACCATATTTCACTGCAAAATCTGTCCTCACTTTCATACCGTTAGCATCCTTTTTCGAATATTCGTTCGGTATGCATTTGAATCTCTTAGTATTTTGCTGATTATACTTCGTATTTTACGATTTTTCGCTGTCAGGTTGATCGGCATCCTCAGTTCAGGCACTCGAGGTGCCTCTTTGTCGTGAGAACCGATGGTGGATGGATCGATTTCTCTTACCAGAAATGTCTTCGGTCCTATGTTCGAGGTAAGTACCCATCTCTCGGCGAAAGATTCATCCGAGAGCATCTTAAACGCGGTAGCAACTAAGGAAGAAAAAAAAACCCTCGGCCCGGCCCGACCCGACCCCATAGTTCCTGTTATAGAATGCCGTCTTTGCAATGTAATAACATCAGTGAAGTTCACGTAGAAAAATGTTGTGATTGAAATTGACGGACAGAGAGAATAGTTCTAATGAAAGCTTTAGTTGTATTGTTGAGTATGAGTTGTTTGCTTAGTTCCTTCTCCACATGAGTAACATGTTGAAAGCAGGGATGGACGTCATTGGTGAAAAACTAGTTTTGAAATTTTTTATTAAAATTTTAAAATATATAATTTTAATTTCTAAACAATACAATTTTATGGGTTAATATCGTCAAATTTTTTACTAATACTAATTATAATGATATATTCTGTAAGTTTCAGAATAAATTTGTCAAAATAAAAGTTTAGCTTGAAATTTTTCATTTTTCAAAATCTAAAAAATAAAAAAAATTCAAACTCAAAATCCAAAAGTACACATCAAATATATTTTTGGGACAATTGGAAAACCGTGACAAATATATCACATCATTAGAAATCTATACTTTTTTTTTTCTTGTTTTGCAAACTATACCTTTTTATAATTTTTTTGACAAAAATATCTTTACTTTATTATATAATTCCAATATTGCCATTTAGCGTTCCGAAAAATGTGTAAGAGCAGATTTTTTTGGAAACTGTGTTATCCGAGAGAGTGTTTTTTCTCCGGGGCTGTATTTTGTCCGGAAGAGTCTGTTTTTTGTCCGAAAAAGCTGTATTTTGTCCGGGAGAGTCTCGTTCGGGAGAACTATTTTTTGTTCGGGAGAGCTTTTTTTGTCCGAGAGAGCTGTTTTTCGTCCGAGAGAGTTATTTTTCGTCCGAAAAAATCTGTTTTTTGTTCGGGAGAACTGTTTTTTGTCCGAAAAAGTTATTTTTCTTCCGTTAGAATCTGCTTTTTTGTCTGGGAGAACTGTTTTTTGTCCGGTAAAATATAATTTTTCGGATAAAAAATAGTTCTCCCGGATGAAAACAAGTCTTCCGGATGAAATACAGTTGTCCCGGATGAAAAACAGTTCTCCTAGATAACGCAGTTTCTAAAAAAATCTGTTTTTCATATTGCATATTTTTCGGAACGCTAAATGGCAATATTGAAAATAGATAATAAAATAAGAATATTTTTGTCAAAAATTTATAAAAAGATATAGTTTGTAAAAAAGTACATGATATATTTGGTACAGTGACAGCAAATTTTTTCTACATTTTTTTATAATATACATGTTGATGAGCCTGTCTTAATTATCGAGACCAATAATTATAATTTTGGTGGATAAAAGTGTAATCTTATTCATTATGGGCTTTTCGAATAGTATATGTGCATTTTGCAACTTGGAATTTTTATAATAATAGATGCATGTTACTACTTGTTAGTTTTAATTCGTTAAGAATGGATCTGTCAGGTTATCGTATGAACGAAAAAAAAGACTACCAAATATTTTTTTTATTCGAAATTAAATATCCATGTCCACATTAAAATGTGAGAGATAATATGAAAACCAAATCAATATTCTTCCATCGCCATTTCTAAATAGTGACGTAAAACGGGTCGATTCGGACCAAATCGAACCACTTTGTTCCGAGCTATTTTTAACCCAATGCATTAAATCCGTTTTTATTTAAACCAAAAAAATTATGGTTTGATCTAAATCGATCTATCTCGTGAGACGGAATCAAATTTACGTAATTATCTAAAAAATTATATGAAATTAGATAAAACCATGTCCAAATAAATATACCAATATAAAAAGAACATAACAATACATAAAATTATGTCTAAACCATAAATCATATCTAAAATCATGAAACCAAATTATAAAATCATGTCCAAATCAAGATACCAACTACCATCAACACATTCAAATTTCAACACATAACATAAAAGTATACACCAACCAAATCGTCAACCATCCAACATCAATATATCAGGCATTAAGATATATTCTTCTTTCTTTTTGTTTTATTAAATATAATTATATAAGTAATTATTATAAAACGAAATCCTAATTTTTTTAATGTCAGCTCGTGAAGTGGTTCATTCATTCTGTTTTTTATTCGATCTCGGAATTCTCTAGCTTGGCTCGGCAAAAAATGAGCTCACTTCGAATTGACTCGCAAACTCGGTTCGTTTGACATCATTATTTATTTATTTATTTTAAATCTAAGGTGTTGAATGGGAAGAATAGCAGAAATACCCCTCCTTTGCTACAATGACTTCACGCCATACCCTTCGAAACCCTAGAATTTAAAAAAAAAAAACGAGCAAAAGACATAAAAGACCTTATAAAAAACGATACGTGGCGCAACAGGAAGGGAAGGACGGTTGATCTCCCCGAATCGACACTGTAACTTAGTCTTTTTCGAGACAAATTTCGAAACTGCTTCTCTCTCTCTCCCGTTCGAAGAAATCCGGCGAAATCCTATCATTTCTCTCTCGATTCTCAAAAATCAGAACAATGGCTTCAAAATCGAACAGAAATGAAAGCAAGACTTCAACTCCCGCTCGCAAATCGGGACGTGGCGGAAGAAAAAATCAGGAACTGAAGGTAAGTTTGAGTTTGATGCGATGCAAGAAATCTAGGTTTTTTGGTTTGAGTTTATAATTTTTAAGTTAATCGTGAGATTTATGGTGGAAAATGGGTTGTTAGATTCACCGAAACGGAAGTTAGGGTTTACCTGGTCACACTGGTCACACTGACTGATTGAGGGTTGATTTCTTCTTTACAGGTTTCGTTCATATATGATTTTTCAGATATTCAATTCGCATCGAAGATTGAAAGCAAATGTTATTTGAGTCAGACGATAAAAAATCTGAGGAGTGGAGGTACTTCAATGAGGATTCACAGTTTCGTCACATATTCCATTTGAAATGTTACGAAAACATGAAGATGTTGCCTGTGTCAGTACTCCTACACCGAACGCTAAAGTTAAAGGAGGAAAAAGGGCAGTTATGGTTTGTTTTAAATGGCGTTCATATCAGGTATTCTATAACCGAGCACGCCATTATATCAGGATTGAAGTGCAACCAGTATCCGGAAGATTGGGAAGGGCGCAGGAAAAGCGATTTTCGGATAAAGACCTTCGGACCTGGGAAGGTCACGAGGAAAGCAGTTATGGAAAAGTTGCAAAAGAGTAAACACAGTCGGATTGACAGAAAGAGATTGGCGACACTGATGTTGCTATCCGGGGTACTCGACCCCGGGAACAGAAACGATGACTCTATCAACCATGATCTGGTTGATATGGTCGATGAACTTGAGTTATGCGAAGAATTTTCGTGGGACAGGTACACATTCGACAAATTGGTAGAACAGTTGTGGAAAATTCTACAAAGTCCTACACCGAAGGGGAGATGGCGCTTGACTGGATTTGTTGTCCCTCTCATGGTGCTTCCTTTCGAATGCATCGAAACTCTTTGCGCAAACAGTTGGTGCACGACTGTTGAAGATGTCGATCCAAGCTGTCCCAGGATATGCAAGAAGCATATCTCTAACCCCAAATGGACTTTCGGGACGGTGATGAAACAGATTGGGAACGAAGCAAAGGTACGTCACAATGGTCACGCTGGTCACGTTGGTCACACTAGTCACGTTGGTCAGACATGTCACGTTGGTCACACTGGTCACGTTGGTCACACTGGTCACACTGTTTATTTTTAATTCTTGTCACACTTTATTTTTAATTCTGGTTGACAACTGTTGTGTTTTGGTTTCAGGGCATTCGAAGTATTCTTAGAGTAGAAAGTGTGGAAGATGAATCACTTCTTGTTGATGTCGATGACGAAGATATTACCAATTCGGATGTGCGCAATTGGATGAAACAACTGAAGGTCGATCCAAAAAGTATTTGTTTTGAGCATATTCGTGCTCTTGATGTCGATGCCAGGGGAGCTGCTTCCGATAAGAAGGCAGAAGAGAAGGACAAGAAAAAGAATTGATAAGAAAAAGAAGAAGATGACGAAGAAGAGGAGGAAGAAGGAGAAGAAGTACAAAGAAGAGAACAAGAACAACATGGAAGAAAAAAGCAAGTAAAAAAATGAAAAAAAGAAGAAGAAAAAGGTTCTGAAAGGAGATTGATGGAGGCGATTAAGGCCTCTGAATTGAGGATCATAAATTCAGTGAAGCAGATGATGAGGAAAACAGGATTTCCGGTGGATGAAGAACCTTTTCAGGGGGTGGGTGGTGAAGATGTGCGTACTCCCCGTTCACAGATACAGGGAGAAGAGGGTGAAGATATGGGTAGAAGCTCATCAACGAGTGATTACTACGTCGGCAAGGATATTCCTTACCATTTTAAAGCTCGGGTTGGGGCTAGACGTAGTGAAGAAAGTGATGATGAGGGCTCCGAGGGGGTGTCTAATACTCCTCCCAGAACTGTGGAAGGGGGGTTACGAGTCCAAAGGTCCATGAAGAAAACCCTATGGAAGTAGACTTTGCTACCCAAGACATCGAGGATGTTGCTGCCCACGTCTCCGAGGACCCTGTTGCCCAAGCGACCGAGGATTCTCCTACCCTCGTGTCTGAGGACCCTACTGCCCAAACCACCGAGGACGGTACTGTTCACGTCTCTGAAGACCCTACTGTTGAAGCCACCGAGGATGCTGCTGCTCACGTCTCCAAGGACCCTACTGTCGAAGCCACTGAGGATGCTGCTGACCACAAACCTGAGGCCACCGAGGATGCTGCTGCTCATGTCTCCAAGGACCCTACTGTCGAAGCCACCGAGGATGTTGCTGCCCACAAACCTGAGGAACCTGCTAATATTGTCATTGAGGACTCTGCTGCAGTGGCCCCTGATGGCAAGACATCCGTGGACCCTGCTAACGTTCCTGTTTCCCAGCCTGCTATTGCCCTAACTCCATCGCTGACTGAAGTCGCTAGACCCATGACACGTTCCAAAAGAACGTTGTTCCAAGGGCCAGCTCTCAGAAGTCCATTTGTCGAGCCTGAGATGACAGATCCACCACCGAAGAGGGTGCGAACAAAGACTGCGGGCAGAATAACTAATAGAGGGTCAGAGGTGGAGGAAGAGCTTGCAAATAAACCTATATAGTGTCACGGGGTTAGAAACTGATCTAGGAACCCACGTGTGGCAGCCTAGGCTTGGGAAGTCTCGGACGCGTTTTGGGTCCTTGGGAGAGCTTCGGTTGCTTTGGCTAAGCCT